CTCAGACTGCCATTAAGCATTGCTATTAGCACAGTACCTTCTTGAGTGGGAACTGTTTCAAATAAACTTCAGCTAGAATTTTTGTCTTACCGATTTTTTTGGAATGGTCGACTCATATTCAGAGCAGCTGCATTTGTTTTATAAGATCCTGGTGAATTAAAGCCATTCACAAAACTACCATTGGGAAAGGGAGCCTAGAAAAAAAGTTTAATGTTTAAACAATATTAATGGTAAAGGCAAAATCTGGTGTGAGGGTCATAAGAATCAATTTCTTTTACAAGCCCAAAATAACTTAAAACATTTTCTTTGATTTACTTTCATAAAATTCACTTCCTCTTGATTTATAAACAATGAATACTTCTTCATAAATTAATGAAGAAAATTCTGCTCTGACAATGTTCCTTAACACTAAAAAAGCATTTACAATCAAGTAAGATTTGTCCAGTCTCTTCTTTCAATTTACCCAGCAAATTCTATGGAATAAAATTATACGAATGAATAACCCAACTCTTTGTCATATGCATATGTTTGGTATGGAGGGCTAGATATTCATTTCACTATTTAAAAGCCAAAAAATAACTGATACCAACACAAAACAAATTAATTCCTGCTCTAGCTGATTTCTTCAAATTTCAGTTTGAATTTTAAAATTCAATATCTTCTATTTTATTACTCTATAACGATGTCACTTACCAGTGGTGTTTCAAAGTAAGGTGCAGGATTTGGAGACCAAGACTGAGGCACAATACTATAGACCGAGTACTGTTGGTGAGGATTATATAGAGGCTGCATAAACACTGGTGAGGCATACTGTGCTTGAGTTTGAATGGGCTGACTATACATACTAGAATCCATTAATCGATAACCATTCTTAGCAAAAAATGTGTTGATGGCTTTTATCCTTGCCTAGAAGAGGAACACATTATAACAAAGTACTAAGTGTGTATCTTTACAAATATATTTAATTTTATATTTAACATATTTTATAACCATACTATGTCTGCCTAGTATTGTAGAATCAGTAAAGCAACAGAAAAGGAAATGATAGCTTTAGTCAATTAGCAACAATAAAATGTTTGCATGGCAAAAACCACAAAAAACAAAAACGATTTGGTCATACACAAGAGTTCTAACAGCCCTAATATAAAAATTATAAAAATAGACATGAAAAAAGTCCAACAATCCTACAGAAAAATGGGTTAGAGAAATGAACAGTTCCCAAAACAAAGAAAGGCAAATGATTCTTAAACATATGAAACAGATGTTAAACTTTGCTCATAAGAGAAATGTGATTAAAAATATGCATATGTATAAATAATGTTCAAAATCACTAATAATAAGAAATGTAAGTGAAAATCACAACTGTAAGTCCAACACTTTGGGAGCTGAGACCTGAGATATGAGGTTCACTTGAGCCCAGGAATTCAAAGCTAGTCTGGGTAACATAGCAAGATCTTGTCTCTACAAAAAAAAATTAGCTAGGCATGGTGGTGCTTGTTTGTAGTCCCAGCTACTGGGTGGCTAAGGAGGGAGGACTGCCTTACACAGGAGGTTGAGGCTGCAATGAGCTGGGATCACGTCACTGCACTCCATCCTGGGCAACAGTGAGATCCCCAACTCAAAAAAAAATAAAATAAAAGATGACTGATAACTGTTACAGAGGACATGGAGAAAAGGAAACCCTTGTACACTGTTGATTGGAATGTAAATTAGTATAGTCATTATGGAAAACAGTATGAAGTTCCTCAAAAATTTAAAATCAGAACCATCATGAGATTCAGCAATCCTGCTATTGCACACATAACCAAAAGAAATGAAATCAGTAAATTGAAGGGATTATCTGTCCTATTGTTTTCACTGTGGGATTATTCACAATAGCCACAATATGGAAACAACCTGAGTGTCTATCAACAAATAAATGAAAAAGAAAAGGAGGCATGTACACATTCACACACATACACAATTAAATACTACTCTGCCTTAAAGAAGAAAATTTTGCCATGTGTAACAACATGAATGAACCTGAAGGACATCGTGCTAAGTAAAACATGAATGAACCTGAAGGACATCGTGCTAAGTAAAACAACAAGGTATATAAAGACAAATACTGCATGATCTCACTTATATACAGAAATTGAAGAAATGCTCTAAATACTATTGTGAAGTGATTTCCAAAATATATAATGAAGTTAAAAGAAAAATATAGGCAAGATTAGGAGAAGAAAAGTTTGTATGGAAAGCTACTGTTTTAAGATAGGAGTATGAGCCTGTAATTCCAGCTACTTGGAAGGCTGAGGCGGAAGGATCGCCGAAGCCCAGCAGGTCGAGGCTGCGGTGGCCGGGAGCGGCCACTGCACTCCAATCTGGGCGACACAGTGAGACTCCGAATCAAAA